TTCAATTCCCGGCAACCACATGGTGGCTCACAGTCATCTGTAATGAGGTGTGGTGCCCTCTTCTGGCCTGCAGGCATACACACAGACAGAATATTGTATACATAATAAATAAATATTTAAAAAAAATATTTTGGAGTGGTTAAGGGCCTGAGTTCAAGTCCCAGAACCCACATTGGGTGGCTCACAGCTGCCTGTGACCCCGCACTAGAGGATCTAACACCTTTGGCCTCCATGGGCACTCACATTCATGTGCACACATCCCCACCCCACAGACACATAATTAAAATAATACAAATAAAAATTTAAAAAACATCAAAATATTTTATGTGTATGGGTGGGTTTTCTCTGCATGTATATCCATCCACTCCACAAATGCCTGGTACTCAAGGAGCTCAGTAGGTGTTTTGGATCCCCTGGGACTGGAATTACAGACAGTTGTGAGCTGCCATGCGAATTCCAGAATCCAGGTCTTTGGAAGAGCATCCAGTTCTTAACCCCTAAGCCATCTCTCCAGCCCCAATAAATACTGTTCTTAAAAAAGAGAAAGGAGTACTGAAAACAGCCTGGTATTGGCATAAAAACAGACAGGAGGACCAATGGAACTGAATCAAAGACCTGGATATTAATCCACACACTTTAGAACGCCTGATTTTTGACAAAGAAGCAAAAAATATCAAATGGAAAAAAGAAAGTATAATTGTTAAATGAAGCTGGTATAACTGGATATCAACATGTAGAAGAATGAAAATAGATTCTATCTAACACTATGCACAAAACTCAAGTCCAAATGGATCAAAGACCTCAACGTAAAGTCAGCCACACTGAACCTTAAAGAAGAAAAAGTGGGAAGTACACTTGAACGCATTGATACAGGGAATCATTTCCTAAATAGAACCCCAGAAGCACAGACACAGAGAGAAATAATTGATAAATGGGACCTCCTGAAACTGAAAAGCTTCTGTAAAGCAAAGGACACGGTCAACAAGACAAAACGACAGCCTACAGAATGGGAAAAGATCTTCACTAACCCCACATCAGACAGAGGTCTGATCTTCAAAATATACAAAGAACTCAAGAAATTGATCATCAAAAGAACACATAATCCAATAAAAAAAAATGGAGTACAGACCTAAACAGAGAACTCTCAACAGAGGAATCTAAAATGGCTGAAAAACACTTAAGGAAATGCTCAACATCCTTAGCCATCAGAGAAATACAAATCAAAACAACTCTGAGATTCCATCTTACACCTATAAGAATGGCCAAGATCAAAAACACTGATGACAACTTATGCTGAAGAGGTTGTGGGGTAAAAGGAACACTCCTGCATTGCTGGTGGGAATGCAAGCTTTGTATGTCAGTGTGGCGATTTCTCAGAAAATTAGGAAACTACCAGCAATACTACTTTGGGTATATATCCAAAGGATGCTCAATCATGCCACAAGGACATGTGCTCAGCTATGTTCACAGAAGCATTGTTTGTCATAACCAGAACCTGGAAACAACCTAAATGCCCCTTAACTAAAGAATGGATAAAGAAAATGTGATACATTTACACAATGGAGTACTACACAGCAGAACAAAAATAACATCTTGAAATTTGTAAGTAAATGGATGGAGCTAGAAAACATCATTTTGAGTGAGGTAACCCAGACCCAGAAAGACAAATATCACATGTACTCACTCATAAGTAGTTTTCAAACATTAAACAAAGAAAGCCAGCCTACAAATCACAATCCCAGAGAACCTAGACAACAGTGAGGACCCTGAGAGAGACATACGTAGATCTAATCTGCATGGGAAGTAGAAAAAGACAAGATCTCCTGAGTAAACTGGGAACATGGGGACCATGGGAGAGGGTTGAAGGGGAAGGAAGAGGAAGGGAGGCGAGCAGAGAAAATGTAGAGCTCAGTAAAAATCAATAAAAAAAAAGAAGGGAAAGGGAGAGAAAGGCCCTCTGCTCTGGTCTCTGCGTCTACATGTATAGGCACTTCTTAGACCTGCACACTTATTTGCATACAACAATGCATATAACACATGGACACATACAAATAGTCATTACTTTCAAAACGACATACCGAACTTGCTTTTTCATTAGTCTGTAGTTACTTTTTTGTCACTAGCACTTAAAAAATCAAGACCCATATTATATTATATATTAAGTATATTTATGTGAGCATTATATATATACACATGTATATATACATAAGCATATGTATATATGCTTCATGACGTTATTCCGTCCATGGGGTCCACACGGATCCCCTGGGACTGAACTTGCAGACATCGCGAGCAGAGAACTGACTGTGCAACGCTATCCTCCGGTCTCCTCGCCAGTGCTGTGGCCTCTGGGTCAATAATAATAATCAATAAATAAACATTATTTATTAAACATTATTTATTTATTAAAATAAATCAATCAATAAACAAAACATTAAAAAACTCACAGTGCAAACAATCATCACGGTCATGTTCCGACAAGGACAAGAAGGCTAGGTCAGTTGTCTACACGAAGTAATTACAGTTTGAGGACACGTCCCCTTTGCCTCCAGCCAGCATGTAGCTGGCTTGTCTAAAGCTCCACCCTCCACATCACTGCGGCCCACTGCAGTCTGCTGCCCAGGACGGTTAGGCCTCTCATGTCTGCAGACACACCTCTTGCCTTTGATCTAATGTCTTCAGGCTTACTGTCATGTAAGGGTTTTCTTTTTATATCTTTTTCTTTACCAGCTTCTTGAATATTGCAGACCTGAAGAGCGCTTCAGGGTCTAGCGGTCTGTGTATCTCCAGCCTAGAGTCGCACTCATTTCAGTGAATTTATTTCCATTGGTATCAGCTCTTGTACAGTTTTGGAATTTACACATTTTAGTGATTATAGCAGCTTATGGCCTCAGAAGTCTTATTTTCAAATGATTATTTAACCTTATCAAACAATGTTTTATTAGGAGTAATCGGATCTGGATAAAAAGAAAGCCTCAAAGTACCCGCCAATCACCCCATGAGTCTCCAATACCTTCGGTCAGCTGGGCCAAGCTTTGCTAGGATCAGATGAACTCACAATGTCATTTTGATTTGGGAGTCACAGCGTCGCTTCAGCAGTCTGAGCGTTGTAATTTTTCAAAACACAGCCAGGTCCTTTCCAACTTCTCATTGAACTACCTATTTTCTTTGCTAAATAAATCGTCTAAGTAACACTTTCCAGATGGTTGTTGCAGTTTTTGTTAGACGATGAAAATAATTAATAAACACAATTATAACTGTGTCTTGATCCCCAAGCACAATCCTTGCCGGTCTCTAGAAGAGTACTGCGTGAATAAAGTTAAGTATTCCTTCAGTAACCCCGTGGTGGGCTTAGAGCATCTCGCTCGCGGCCCACGGGCCTTCTCGGAATTGAAAAACCCAGCGCTAGTGTGAACCCTGGGTGGAGTCTCGGCCGTCAGTAGGCGGCCCAGGCCTGAAGCCCGGCTCGGCTGCGGGAACCAGGGGCGGGTGCTCAGCGCACCAGTGAGAGGCGAGCTGCTGGGAGGGCCAGAGGGGCGGAGCCCTAGGGAAAGGGGCGGAGCCAGGGCGGGGCGGAGCCTTACGGTAGAGGGGCAGGGCCAGGCGGAGCGAAGTGGGGGAGGAGCCGGGCAGAAAAGGCGGTGTCCGGAGGTGTGGCATACTGTGGGCGTAACGGGGTCCGGGGCGGAGCGGAGCAGAGCAGAGCCGGAGCGGCGGGGGGCGGAGTCGATGTGGGGCGGAGCAGGCGGCCGAGAGCGGG